CAGATATATCCCCGCTTCCCTTATTTCCTTCACTGATCACGAGAAATGGGAACTTTTTATGAGTAGCCCGATATTCACGAAACGGTGAAAATTCGTTCAGAAAAAGTTAATTGGGTTACTTGAGGGAGGAACTTTGTCAGAAAAACACTATGAAGGTTTTCCGTGATGAGGAATCTAATGGTGATAGCAGCATTTCCAAAAAATGCACAGCAACTTTGGGGTAGCAAAAATTTAGGGTGGACCTATAATTATGAAACGCAGTGTAGCTGATTTTTTGGTAAATGATAGTTGTAATTAGTGACAACTGATAGAATACAACTGCAACAGGCTAATCATTTCATTGGCAGAAAACATTACATTTTGTGGAGGCCGTCGTCACTTGTGGTGTATGGTCTGCACCCGACGCTCTTCTCGTTTTTGAAAATGTGAATGTTTTTCTGCTAATGAAATGATTAGCCTCTTGCAGTTGTGTTCTATCAGTTGTCCCTAATTACAACTATTCACTTACAAAAGATCAACTATCACTATAAACCATTACTAATCAGATTTTCTTGGAGGCTGTCGTCCAATCCTCAAAAAACCATAATGAAGTGGCACATCTGAAGGGACTTGCTCTGTCTTCGGAGCCTCTCTCACTTGCGTTAGGCAATTTCCTGTAAATTGCTGTATGCATTCAATGTGTTGGTACCTGCACTTGTGACTTGCCTATGAGACCACAATGGCACTGGGTGGCACCTACACAAAAAATGGATCACCGGCATGCACTTCATTATTGTACCATGTGTGAGTTCCATCGCACTGGTATCGAGTGGAGCGCGATTCATTCATGGGAATCATTTGGCGTATCCCAGATCCCTCAGTTATGAGCCGTTCCCAATCTATCGCCCACCCACGTTATGAAATTGCTCCATCGTTTCCAAAACTTCAATTTCACATCATCGTTCCTGCTATTGACGTCAATAATTGTTTGGATGTCCTGAAAGGGAAACCATTCGGGCAAACACAGTCACGCTCCACATTGACGTCGTTGCAAGGTATAGGCGCATTTAAAAGCTTTTCTGCTCCACTGGATACCTTTGTCGGTCTATGCTGCACCAGGTAGCATTACAGTTCTCCGCCTCCAAACTAATTGCACCTACGTGAAGAAAACGATGTTCCCGTCCTCCTTATTCATTATTAGACTTTTTCGATTCCCTTCTCTTCTTTGTGGGTATTAACGGTGTACGAGGGTGCTGAACCGGCTCGAAGCGCCATGTCGTATAGCATACACCCAAGGTGCAATCGGTCATATTCGGGCTTGAATCTCCAACCAGGTGTTAACCGAGCCAGTCGGATCAGATCTTGTCCATAAGCTGCCGAGGAGGATGAAACGCGATCGCGAGGGCATTTGCTTGTCCCTGCAAGCCGTTGCATAGTCCATATCGCAGCAGAATGCCTCTACGATTCTTAATTGAAGTGAATTGCATGGCGCAGCTCCAAAATGATCGAACAACGCTGAATTCCTTACCCTTAACATTGAGTCGCCTCGAATGGCAGTCGTGAGAAAATGGCAAGGCGAAGGTGTCTAGCTCCTGTCAAGCGTCCCTTGACTTGACGCGCTGGGACGGCTCCTGTTGGAAGTATTGGTAAGGGCTGCACTGAAGGGGATAGTGTTGACAAATTGTTCTTGATAGGGTTGTGGATAGCTTTTTTCGAAGAGTTTTCGAGAAACTCAAAAACATAATATTATATTTATTATGTCATATTAATATACTACATATTGCTGTTGTAAGAATTCCTTTTTTCTCGTTGAAGATTCGTCGGACAACTAGGGAGTTAAGGCCAAATAAGAAAATGCCAAGATACGCTTCTATCAAGAAGGAAGTTTCTGAAAGAAATTTTTAACTTTACGCAGTGAGTTGAGCCTCGGTCTTCTAACGTATCCTGGCGCGCAGACAAAGGTCCAAATTTAGCGCAGTTTTGCTTTAGCAATCAAAGCGTTGTGACAGCGCGCGAAACTAGGCAGTCTGCCATTATTGAAATGAATCGTCATTTCAAACAACAACGTATTCTTTTTGATAACGATCATTTCGACGACAATGTTGGACTGCAATAAAATGCAAAATTTCTTCAAATCGCTCATCAAAAACCTTCAAATTGACGTTTTGAACTGATAAAGCACTAGGCCGTAAAATTCTCTTTTGGAATGCGCCACGCTCTCGAAACCCCTTGAAACACCAACAGAATCCAATTTTTTGACTTGTTTTGTCTGTGAACTGCCTCTTAAGCAGTTATCGCTTGCCAAATGTTACCGAAGAGCAGTTGAGTGGTAGCCTCACATGTGACACACTCATCTGAAAAAGCGAGAGGTATGAGTTCGAGTACCGTCTGGAGCGAAAACTCAGTACATAAACCAGCGTTCTTTAGCAGCACTTTGCACATACAATCAGTTACAGGTCTGATATGAGCAGTTCATCATAATTCGCTGTAGAAGCCTCTTTTCCGAAGCCAAGCGTCCTTACAGATGCGGCGCATTGGTATTAGCATATTGGTCTGATCTGAGGTGAGCTCCTCGCTGCCCACGCGTCTTGACCTTCTCATGCCGCATTTCTGGCATTTTCTCGCTTATCATTCTAACATCTTGTCACGGGTTAACACCGACTCACCGAACTCGTGGGCTCAGAAACTATTTTTGACTTTGTCAGCGATGAGCTCCAGTATCCGTCGTGCATTCCGTCGTCGTCACGAGGCCAAGTATTTGGTCCAATGATAACCAAAATTTACAACTGATATGAGAAACGTCACGTAATGCGAGCATAATCCGCCGAAATGCTGCCGGGATCGATCTGATGACCGTCGGAAGTCAACACTGTCCATTGAGATGAATCGTCGTCATTGACGTCAATCGTACGTCGACATACAGAGTACATCACTAGGACAGTCATGGTTGTGGTAGATGACTAGCTGGACCGGTCTATTCTTAGTAACCGAACGTGAGCGCTTGGCAATCGATGCGATTGTTAGTTTCTAGGAGGTGACGCCATATAAGGCGATCATTGGAGCTATAAAAGTAGTAGGCATGGTGGAAATAAAGTTCGTGCCCTGGTAGTTTCTGGGTAAAAAGCCTCCCATTCACTCCCCAGCTAAACATGTGTAGAGACGATTAATAGTACTTAGTCTATCACAATATCAATTTATGCGGTAGCTTTTTGCTTCTAAAAACACTTTGTGCCAAGCCCTTGCTCGAAACGATCAAGTGCAGTTGGTACGGAGACAGTATCGTCCTCCCCCTTCCACCCCCCCCAGGCTAATGGTAAGGGAGGAAAAGATCCATTTAAATTTATTGGTTTTCAACGGCCTCCTTCCTTACTCTCATTACGTGTTTACTTTCCACACATACATACATTTCAACTAGGCTCCTTTTAGGGCGGTTTTTGTTTCTAAGAAAGACGAAAAGAATTTGAAAGGGTCTTTCCTTCCTCTTGGCCTGGGAAAGGATTGGATGCTGCTCAAGAACTCATACAGCACTTAGTTACAGTACAGGGTTGTACAGTACCGTTAGTAGGTCCTTCGCCTCGTTCATTGTTGGGATGAAGAAAACTTCATTAAAGTACACAATCATCCCTATGGTTCAAGGGACGAAAACTATGAGTTAGAGGAAAGTCGCTGTGGATGGGAAATTCAAGGAGTTAAGTTGCGGTCAGTCTGGGATAGGTGCCAGCTGAACGTCAGCTAGTATAGTAGTTCAGTGTCTCTATATTCAATGGTCGGAAGATTTTGGCCTCATTTTGACCAGAGGGATCAAATCCGACCAAGACCAAATGATGCTTCTGCACTATAGCATTTTGCCTACACCTTAATAACGTCTTCTGAGGTAAGCAACCGTTTTTCTCCTATTAAATAGCTCAGTTCCGGTTTATTTATAACACTACCCTTATCATACCTATCTTTGTTCTGACTTTCGATGGGTATTAAAAAAAGCGCAAATCATACGATACGAAAATCAGGGTGGGAGAATTAAGAAAAAATTCTTCTCCCTTCCTAGAAGAAGGCGAAATAGAGACCTCAAATGATGGTTCTGCCAGCTGGAGTGCGGTGAATCTCATTTCCTTACAAGACCATTAAGTCTATCACATCCCCATAAGCTTACCTCATCCGTTTATGGTCCCTTTTTGAATGCCTCAGTGGGAAAACTGTCAAAAGAAAGCTTACTCGAATGCCGTATCACACCGTGGCTTCCACAAAGACAGCTTTTTCAAAATGAATTAGTAATTTTGTCAAATAATCTGCGTAAACATCCTTCATGGATGCGCCATGCACTCGTATTTGTGCGAGTTTCTATCTTTTCTCTGCCTGTCACATTCTAGCCGGTCATTGAATATTAAAACTGTATTTTATCATGGGTCACTTATTGCATATAGGTGTGATTTCCGACCACATAAACTGCTCAAATGACTTTAACGCGAGGAACTGTACCCGGGATTATATGAACGTTGAACTGCGCTTCTTGCCACTGCTCTACGTATTCCCCTCCCAGTCTTCAGAACTCCAAAAAAAACGAATTTTCCAATAGAATTATACAAGTATCAAGTCGAACATTATTTGTTTCGCAGTAGTAACCTGTGACAGTTTTGTCGCCTGGGTAAAGAGCCTCGTAACCAGTTTTTTGGTAAAACCCCGGTTAGTAATCGGATTTTTTCCGAGTTAATCCGAGGGAGATTTTCAAGGATTGGAGACTCGATAGTAGGTAAATAGAGGAAATCTCGTGTCTCACGTTTGGAGCCGCCTACCACTCCACATCCGTGTGTGCTGTGTCATCGTGTCCCCACCGCCTTCCGCTAGTGGGGCGGTGCTCCAACCGGTCGAACACATAAGCACTCCACACCGCTCCCCTGCTGTTATCAAGCCGCTATCGGTCTGAACTGAACGTGACCAATTGATTTCAACGATCTCTCTACCTGCGCCATATCCCGATAGCAACATTCCGTGCAATCTCGGGCACTCTCTACGTCTCTCTGAGGATGGCGCGACCACTACTGAGCGAACAACCACCCTCGGCGCTACTTCAAGGCGTTCTGGACACATGTGACCTACGACGGCTACATCGGCGACATATTCTCGGCTACTATAGTCATTCATTTGAATATGTGAGTCGACATCAAACAGTAGTAGTTTATTTGCATAATCACTCCGGCTATATCACATATCGAATTGATCAATATCTATTGTTTTGCTGGTGAAGTGTTTGCGTTTGATCCGATTGTCGTTATTCAAACAGAACATGGAAAATGTGTACAGCCAGTGCCTATTTATGCCCATTCACGGGAAACATGGTTTTGTCGGCTCTCGAAAGAGTTTTTCATCGACTTCGCCCGGTAGAAGCAAAAATTTCGCCAGCATTTGGTAGGGTTTTGGTGTTTAGTGCCCGCTGCACTTTTCCTGTCACAAATTTTTATATGTGGAATAGAATCAGTAGATTTAACATTTCTCTTACATCCTCTTTGACTAATTATTCCTCTTTGATTCGTTATTTTGCAAAATCCAATTTTTTTTTCGTCTCGGAAATAATGGACACGACTGAAAGGCTATAGTCACTATATACAATTGTGCTGTCGGAGACACCGATTTAAATTTATGCATTCTACTTTCGGAGGATGAGAAAGAAGCCATTTCGGGTTTTTTGGCTGTAGACTAGTTCATCTCTTTCGCTCTTTGCAAATATCGATCGATGGCTGCTATAATGTTGGCCGTAGCGCATCCGCTGCGCGTGAAGCGCCCGCTCTATGTCGTTCAATGCTTTGTATTCAATGGCATATCCCACGAAGAGTTCAGGTGGATCAATCACTCTGATGGATATTAGAGCTGTCACCTGAGGTGACAGATGGCCCGTTCTCCTGGCCCTAAAATACGCATCAAGGGCATTGGGGCCTTCCCAAACAACTTCAACCGATTGCATTTTTCCCCATTCGCAACATGCGGCTGTCCGTGCCCTCTCATCCGTTCTACTCTCTTGTCTATCCTCTCTTCCTCCCGCTCAGTCTCTCATTGCCTTTCAACAGCCGAATTGCATAAATGAGTAAGCCTTTTTGGCGTTTCCGACAACCTTTCTCTCCTTTTTCTTCACTTTCACTACAGGTTCACCTCGCACAGTTGCTTCCATTTTTGCTCGCAAGGCTCACACCAGTTTGGTCGCGACATGTGTCTTTAACTAACTAAATATTTTCTGAAATGGATCAAGGAAGTAAAACAGCAGTTACTGAAGGGATTTTCCCGCTTGATTTTCAGTTCTCATTTGTCAGCTACTGTATGGCATGGCGGTCACATAACGTCCTCGGCCTTTGTTCGCGAAATAATCGCCGCCATCAAAAGAGAAATATCGTCGTCGTTTGTTTCGCGGCTGCACGTGTCATTCCGTAAATAATCCTTCTCACACAATGGGTCATAACGACATCGAGGGGAAGCATTAGTCTTTCAGAGTGAAATCACCCTTCCCTCACTCAAGCTGGAGTGGCCCTGGCAGGAAATGTGAGGTATTTGAAAATGTGATTCTTTCTGTGATCAAACATCTCTAGAAACAGGTTTTCAACGATCATGACGTATGGAAGGCTTGCGAAGCGTATACGGGCACCGCATGACCTGTTATGTTTGTGGGAATAGGTGAGGTTTTGCTGGCGCTACGCTGTATAGATAACGGATACCGTTCAAAGGGTTGGAAATTCAGTAGCGCCTAGAGGGATCAAGAACCCTTTTGTAAACAAAATTATCAAGGTGCTGAACTCTCGAAGACAGCAAGTACAAACAAGTTTTTTGAGCTTTACGTAAAGCGTCATTGTCACGGCATAGCTCTGATAAAGTCACCGTACAGTTTTCGTGGCGAAAGCGGGCTGTGTTTACACTTAGCGAAGTTGATAAGTAGATGACGCGCGCTATGTCAATCGCCGCGTCGCAACGACTGCTCTGTGGCATTCCTCATGCCCTCACCGGTGAATGCGGACACGTCATGCCTTAAAGACAAACCTAGCGATAGAAATTTTGTTCATAAAAGGGAAGCTGCCGCCTTTCAAGAAAGGTACAAGGTACAAAACCCGTGCCCGACGGCGCCAGGTATACCATACCCAGGAAGTGTTTGGTGATGTTCTTCTCATCGAGGGTGCAGATCACACACCATAGCTGACGACGGGACTCCATAAACCTGAGTTTGGAGTTGTTCATAGTGATATGCTGATTTCTTGCATAGTATATGTAATTATACAATCAATAAAATAACTAACAGAACACTATTCACTTCATTTAGCATACATTAACACATTGACGACCGCGCGCGTTTTGGCTTTTTTGGCCGTGTGGGACCGGGCCGATTTTGCGAGTGCGACCGCCGCACCTCGGATCCGTGAATTTTTATTGATAACTTTTTAAAGCACCAGTGGTACAAAAACATCTCAGTAACAGTCAATGCGTAGAAGGTAATAGAGTATATAGTGACGAAGTTCCGATTAAAGAACATGTAATGGTAATGAAAAAGGAAACTTTAGTCATTTTATCTGTAGTGGATGCCAAAAGCTCTTTTGATGTGGTTATACCAAGTGAAACATGTATTTTTCTGTCTCTTTAGATTTGCATTTACTTTCACTACCCTTTTTTATTGACGTGTTCATGAGAATAGCATGAAAACTATTAATGAACCAAGCCGCCGGTTTCGGTGAGCTTGGAAAACTTCTTCTAAACTGGAGCATATTTGAACAAACAATGACCTATGTCGTTCACAATAATGTTATGTTCTAATCCATAGAAGAGAGACAAACAATTCGGGAAAAAGCTGCGCATGCCCTAGAAAAAGGGATGATAAGGGTGAGACGCGGTAACGCGTCTCAATGTCCAACGAGGTGCGCAAAGTGAGACGCGTTACCGCGTCTCAATGTCGTCAATGTGTTAAAATTTGAAGGCGTGTCGCTTGTGGTCGATGTCTGCAAACCGACACTTTCTCAGTTTTTGAAGGGCAGGTAATTTGCTTTCCTGTAAGATGTCGTAGTTGCAGACTATGGCATCAATGCACATCAAGACTAGCAATCAATTACCCAATGTTGATAATGGATTTGTTTGAGTTGTCCCCTCCTACTTTTTTCGCAATGTCGAACGCCTAATTTGGTTTAGGGAAAACTCTTTTGATCTACAACTGTTTTGGTTTAAGTCACTTAATTACATGTATTCATAGGAGAGCAATGCATTGTAATACCAGTGATACCATAATGACCGAAACACGTACAAGACCAGTTTGTTTATGTTTTCCTGTTGATGGGGACTTTTCTGAAAACCCGATATTTGTAACAATTGTGTCGCCTTTACTATAAACATATTGTCACTGATTCTAGTGTGTTGCGTTTCACCTCAGTGATCAGGCGCGTGGTTGCGCAACGGCGTACAATGCAGATGACGCGAATCTTGCATGGTTGCTGAAACTGGTACCTGTCTTTCTTCCCAACTAATACAGTTAAAGAAGATCTAATTTGTTGAAGCAAAAGCTAAATTCTTAGGGGGTCTCAGCCAGTAAGGGGGCATGTGCTGCCGATAGTTGATATCTTCCTAGAATAATCCGAGTTTTCGCAGAGGAACCAAGCGGCTCCCCCACTTTCTTCACGATTTGGGGCGCGGCCGCGGCAAACCTCGCGATGTTCGCGGCCGAGTAGTGCGGCATCAGCTTGCCTGAGTATTCGACGTTACATACGTTTGTTACTATCGGATGAGTTCATATGAGCCGTTCCACATTGGCATTAGAGCGCGCAGACAGCAACCACCCTATCCTGCTGCGGCCGGACAACTCGTCCGGATCACGCAACTACTACACTTCACTACTTCATCGATCTGATAATTTGGGTCTCAAAAACCTCGCTTAGTCCCAAAGATCTGAAAAAAAGTGGATGGGTTCTATTGGCCTGATGCCAATGGCACAGAGGTTAGAACGGAATGTTCCAGAAATCTGGTTTTGTGAACAAAACTTTCGCCCCAGGCGACTAGAACCGCTACCCTCGCTTTAACAACCAACAAACACAAGAACGGAATTGTTGCGCTGACGAGTGTCCGCATAGTAGACATGTGTAATTAGGCCTGACGCGATGACCATGCCAATGATCGCGCCGTATGCCGGCACACCCCCCGCGCAAATGTGAATAAGTTGGATGGGCCGAACCAAGCTAAGAGCGGGTGCGCTAGTAGTGGTGTGGGTGCCTTAGGACAACTTTTCCGCATTGCCCGAGGAAACGTCTTGACAGGGGCCGTATGCTGAATGTTGGGTAGGGGACGGGGATGGGTGAACGTTGGGGAGGTTCGTCGCAGGACCCTTCTGGGCAGCTGTCGCACCTTCAATATTGCAGCTCTGTTTGTATTCTTTCATCGCTGCTTTTGGTATGAAGAAAGATATTTACGTGCGAATATACAATCAGAAACAGTAAAAGGGTGAAAACAAAGCTGCAAAATCAAAGGTGCGACAGCTGCCCAGAAGGGTCCTGCGACGAACCTCCCCAACGTTCACCCATCCCCGTCCCCTACCCAACATTCAGCATACGGCCCAGGGGGTATCAATCCTTCCCCCAGGGGGATATATCCCCCTACTCTGATTCAATCCTCTGGGGGGACAAAAAAGGGTTGCGTCATAGGACCTAGCATACCTCTGTGTTTCTACCTGCCAGACAGTTAGAGCAGCGCGACCCCTCAGGGGAAAGAGTGCTTCATCAGTGGAGGTAGTAGCGCTGCTCTAACTGTCTGGCAGTAGAAACAGAGGTATGCTAGGTCTATGACGCAACACTTTTTTGTCCCCCCCAGAGGATTGAATCAGAGGAGGGGATATAGGGGAAGGATTGAATACCGCCCCAGGGTGACCTCGGTTCTGACTCGCAGGAGACCCTGTTTGCTTTGGGGCGAAAATCGACAAGTTGCTCCTGCCTAGGCGACTTCTCCTGTGTAGAACGCACCGCAAATGGCAAACTCGAGATTCCCTCTCATCTGCATAAAATGGATATTTTTGTAAAGTGCGACTGCGCATCACATTCTCCCCCCCCTTTATCGGAATAAAATCTGATAAGAGTTCCCTATCATTCAGCAGTGCCGCAGTTTTGCGATGCGCTTTCAATGTTTACGAGGGAGTAGTTCTTTTTTTTTCGAGAAAATTTGAAAATTCCGATTCTGTACACCAAGATGTAAACACCGCGACACGCATGCGGACGTGTCAGCAATCCACGTCATGTACTATTAGAGTTCTAGACTTCAAGTGCACAAATTATGCGAGGAAATTCTTCAAAAGTGCTACAAAATAACGTTTTTTTATAAAAAATACATCTGCAACACATGTTTCCCCATGCACTAAGTTTTTTGTACTTTGCTTATGCCTGTCTATTGAAGGGATGAGAAATCGATAAGGCTATGGCTCCGTCGGCCATTAACTACGAACACTGGCTATAATTCGTAGCATTATCTTTGGGTGTCCGCCTTATCGATTTCTCTCTGAAAACTTCTGAATGATTTAAGATTCCAGCACTTTTTAGGTTTCTGTGGAAACGATGGCCATTACGGCGCTTCCGATAGATGTTTGGTTAAAGGAACGCTTGAAAAAATGGGTGCAGCTGTCTGGACATGAAGAAATTGATTGATTCATTCTTCGCATCATTATCCATTATACACCGTAAGTTTTATTTATTTTTGTCAACCAGTTCTATGAATCATCTCGTTGAAGAGTGCTGGGGGAGGCTGCACACATATTTGTAGGTAATAATTTCTAAATAGTTGCGAGACTGGCTTTGTTTACCTGCATTTTTAGTCTGCTTTTTTGTTTGCTATTGCCGTGTTTCTTCCTTTCTTGAAGATTTTTCTTAAAGTTTTTGGAAGATTGTCTTAGCCTTGAGTAAGGCGCCCTCCCTACTGATAAAGCCTAATGTTTACTGAAAGGTAAGCGCTTTTCGTTTGATAAACCCTTGGAATCATGTTTTATAGTTATCAACCTCGCCCTGCAGAAGCGCAGCAGTAATGCCTAGTGAATTTTCTGCGCGGCCTAGCTTCAAAAAATAGTAATCGAGGCGGCTCATGTGACCTAGTTTGTTCGAATAGTGCAAGAGGTATGTAGCGGCAAATAGCACCGATTACCAACTGCGATTATCTGAGATTCAATCGCCGGCTTAGAGGCCCCTCATCTCCGAGTTATTTATTGTTCCAGAGTCTGAGAAGGAAATGCCATGTCGTGACATATTGGGCTGCCTTCCCTCAATCTTGTATAACCAATGGTTCATTCAGTGCCACCGACCTGAAGAAAAGTGAAGTGCGTGAACGCATCAAAAAAATTCATGGATGGATCCGCCGCTACCTTTTTCAACCTCAATTCTTTTATCTTTCACTTTTAGTGTTGTGTTGTTGTAACCTTGTCCAAAGTCAATGTAGTTCCTTCAGTTTAATTCTTTTGTTTTTCTTTCGAAATATATAGTGCGATTAGTCAATCTACACCAATTCTAATGCATTCAATAATATTCATATCTTGCAAAAATTAGAAGCTTTCAATGCAGAAAATTTATCATAATCAATTAAAAGATGACCTTATACACGCAAAAGTGCTTTACTCATATGCCATGAATATCACGGATCCTCAATATAACAGTGGTAGCCACTCGTCGTGTGCAAAAGGAGAGTGTGCAAGTGAGCACGCCCTTTTCGAGCCTGAAGTTATATACATGCCGCGTTTGTCTGAATGATTTCTCATTTGTCATTTATTCGTTAAGGCAGTATAGTCCCTGCAACTACCTGCACATTGTACAAGAAACAAACTGGTAACTGTATGGAGGCGAGGGCGTACGAGAATATCACCAAAGGGACCCGGTCCTGAACGGATTCACTCCACGTTACTTCAAGCAATTGCAGAAGAATGATGAATGTAGGTTTCATCAGCTTATTTTTTTACAAACAATATCGTCATTTGGTTCGCCTTTTCCATTCATTTCAACTCGCCAAAATATTGCTCACCAACGTTAGTCGAATAAATAAATAATCGGTTTAATTAGACAAATGCTGTATGTCAAGTGGCAATGGTATTTGAACTGATCGCAATACGAGTTTACACACTCCATTCGTAAAACGTGCTCTTCGTGGTGACTTGAACTTGACAGCTCGCATTACTCGCGGTCTATATAATAATATCACCCGGAGTTACTCCAATAGCCTCGGGGTCACGCTGGTTTTGCTGAGTATTATCTTAATTGGGCCATGCATTCGCGGACATTCAGAACAGAGTCATTCGACACCGCTCGTGGGTGACCCTCAGGACTTAAGCCCGGGCCGGAAAAAAGCGCCGGAAACCGAGTTAAATTCTTGAAAGACGAAATAAAAACCCGATCTTGGCAGTCCAGTTGGGGTCACTTGTGATTAATGTTCGAAGAACATGAGAAAAATTCTATAAGTAAATCTACAGAAATTTAGTTGAACAATAAGTGTTGGGGATGTACGGCGGCGGGCGGCGCTCTGTTCGTACTGCCACGTGCGATGAAATAGTAAGCTGATGTCAAGTCCTGCATCCCTTTGGGCGATTTTCGCATCCGTAATTCGCCGATTTTCGCGATTGTCGCGATTTTCGCGATTTGCGCGACGGGTCACGGAAATCACAAGTGCCCCATCCATACTGCAAGGTGTTCTCCAATCCCGCCGTCACTTCTGCTTGATGGTTATGGTTTAATGGAGACTGCTCATGATTCCACTTGTTTCATATCCAGTGTTTCAATTGTTCAAATGGGGCACTTGCAATTTTTGTGATTGGTTTGGTTTGATTCCTGAAAAAAAAATAGGAACGATTCAAGAGCATTTCAATGAACTAATAGACATTGAACATGAAACAAGTAGAACCACAAACATTCGTCTTCCAATCTTTACTGCCAAGCAGAATTCGCAGCAGGATTAAACAACACCTCGCAGTATTCATCGGGCACTTCCACTCCTGTGATTCCAACTCCTGTGATCCATCGCAGGTTTCGCGAAAATCGCGCAAATCGCGAAAATCGCGCAAAGGATCGCGGACTCTGACACCAGCCTAACTGTCCTTGGACTAAGCCTTAGAGGAGCAGACGAACAGAGCGCCGCGCCACCGCATGTCCCCCCCCCCAACCAACTTAGCACCCAGGAATTTTTTGTCCCCCCCCCCCAACCAACTTAGCACCCAGAAATTTTTATCTTTCCATTTTACACTATTGTTCAATATTTTATGTTTAAGGCTTCATTGAAATCGAAGATTTGCTACAACAATTTGCTGATCCGTCAAAAACAAGTATCATGGACATTAAAATCGGTACGAGGTGAGTACTTGTCATTATAGTCGTTTTTGAACCATTTGTTCAATTTCCGAGGTTGCACAATTACAGGACATTTTTGGAGTCTGAGGTGTCAAACACGAAACGGAGGAAAGATTTGTATGAGAAGATGACTGCCATTGATCCCAACGAGCCAACGCCGGAGGAACGAGCTTGCGGTGAAATCACGAAACTGCGTTATATGCAGTTTCGGGAACGGGAAAGCAGTTCCGCTGAGATGGGGTTCCGAATAGAAGCAGCCAAAGTGAGCTACACTTCACCAGAATCTTCCATAACTTTGAACTTTGACATCAAGGATTTTCTTCCTACTCCTTTTGGGAACGGCTGTGCCTTATTTTTCGGTCGCCGACTGATTTAAAATAGACATTAGTTCGTTCGATATCCTTAATAAGTATTTCAGATGCCAGGCGGTTCTCTTCAGAAGAACTTCAAAAAAGTGCGGACTTACGAGGATGTGACTCAGACCTTGATAGGTTTCTTCGGAACCGATCGTGAGAGGATAAGGAGCAGACTGCTGGCACGACTGAAGGCAATGAGATCGGCTATTCGAAAGGAGTCAATTTCTTTGCCACCCATGAGGTACATTCACTTTACAGAGCTGTTTCTGATCACTAGTTCTTATGTGCGCATAACGACACTGTTTTTAGGTCGTGGGTAGTTCTCTGCTGATCATTCACGACAACGAAAAAGTGAACTGCTGGATGATCGATTTCGCTAAATCGTCACCAGTAGAGTCGACGAGGATGCGGTTCAGGCATTCTGAGGATGGTTAATGTATGCTATACGAAGTTATTACGCAAGGTGGATTTTTGAGCGAATTTTGTTCGTTGATATCTTTTATTTGGGGTCTATTCCAGTTAGGGGGGCATCATGGTGCGGTGACTCCCAAAAAGCTACGGTAACTCTGAGCCAGGGGGAGTGTAGCCAGCCTAGGGGGGTGGGGGGTGAGGGCAGTCACTTGACATGCGTGAGAAGCTGGAATGTTCGAGTTTACATTAGCTCGCCGAGAAACTGCATCATGATGCCCCCCTAACTGGAATAGACCCTTTAATGTATTATATAGTAGCGGTCAAAAGTGTTCGTCGAAACGGTCTTCCGTGCTTCCTTTTTTTTTTAAAAAAGAAAATCAGTAATGGCCTCGGAAAATTTTTCTTTTGAACATCCTGATTCCTCACGGCTTTGCGTAAAGAACGCTAGAAACCAAAGTGTATGTCTTTGGAGAGGCGTTGCTCAAGCGACTAAAAATCGCTTCGGCGAACACTTTATATCATCCACACTCAGTGGCGCTTTTTTTATTTGTGTTTTGTTTCACCCCAAACGTGAGTCAAAACCACCTTTCCCCTTTTCGGGCAGTTATACGGGCACACGTTATGTTTTATTTTTACTTTTACTTACTTTTTTGTTGTTTGTATTAAATATGTTGTTAGTGCAGTCGTTTTACCTTATATCCATATACCTGTTATATTATACCTAACATCCATAATTCTAGCTGCCTCGTAAATAGTCGCGCTGCTTAGCGCTAATCAAGTGTTCGCTTGCGTAGGGGCGAAAGCGCAAGAAGTGCCTGATCGGTTTGCGACCGCACGTTTTATTGTTAAGTTAAGCGGACAAAATGGCGTCACAACTAGTTCAAATATTTCTATAAAGAAAAACTTTTTCTGTTTACTATAATTAGCACAAATGTGTTCATTCTAGATACTCGAAGAGATGCCGCCCGTTGAAGTGACTATCGTGGAGGAGTTGAGCTGACATATATGAACGTGGACCTGAATGGGATGGGCCCGAATCGCGGCTGGGAGAAATGCATATCATGAAGCTGTCGATCTCAACTCACTTTTCTATAGAGCTGCTTCATTGACTGTGAACTGAGTTCCCTGCCAGGGAAAAGCCCTTTCAAGGAGAACGCGATAGGGTAACGCGACCCATTGATGATGTGATATTGTTTAGTACAGGCACTGCGATGTGTCGTAATAGATAGAGATTCCATAATACAGTACCTCAGTGCCAGAGATCACTTGTTTTCAGATTGCCTTATACTTCTATATATCAATTCTCTTTGTTTCACCTGATAGCATAATATGCGGTTCATCCAAGGTCCTCGTTGCATATTTTTTCCTTCTTCTGGGTATTTTTGTCCTGTTTTTTTTGTGTCGAAATTATTTACGCCTTTTTACGATTGTGATTAACCGTGACCGGAACGGTGTTGCTCAAAAGTTTTTAGTACAAGTATTGAATTATGTGATGTGTTGTATTGAGACGAATTTCTATTTCACTTTTTCGTGTAATGTGTCTTCTCGAATGTCCAACAAAGCTGGTTATGAATTTTTTGTGATGATGAACACTTCCAAGGCATTATATGATGAATAAATCAGAAATATATGTATGTTCAAGATTGAATACGCACATGATTTGAGC